TTTATTTTTATGTGGTGCTGAGGATCGAACACAGTGCCTCACACGTGTGAGGCAAGTGCTCTACCACTGAGCCACAACCCCAGCCCTTTCCCAGCACTTTTTAAAAAAATATAGAGGTGATATTCACAGAACATAAAATTACATTTTAAAGTTTACATTTAATTGGCATTTAGTATATCACAATATACTACCATCTAGTTCCCAAACCTTTCTATCAACCCAAAGAAAACCTCATGTCCATTCAGCAGTCACTCTTTATTCTCCCCCATCTCCTGCCCCTGCTAACTATCAGTCTGTTCTGTGCCTGTGGATTTACCTGTTTTGGACATTTCACATAAACAGACCCATATAATATGTAAGCTTTTGTGTTTGGTTTCTTTTACTTAGCATGTTTTGGAAGTTAATATTGTCCTTTCACTTTTTGAGATCTTGGACTGCTGTTCAACCTCCCTCTGATATAGGGATACAACACCTAGCTTTGTAGACTGTTGGGAGGCAACATGTACAGCAGTATGTATGTTAGGGGTGTTTGGTAAATAGGAGCTGTTTGGGATTGTGTTTCTTCAGATTCTGATCACCATTCACATGTTAATATAGTTCTTAGATCTTAAAAAATATCAGCAAGCCCCCAGTTAATTCATTGAAGAGAATGCTCAGACAATAAATATGTTGGGCACTGTTCTAGGTGCTGACCAAGGGCATGACTGGGAGACAAGGTGGTGGCAGTGGGGGTACAGTAGGGACTCAGGATGCCTACTTTGAGTTTCTCTGATAGCAGAAAACCCAGACTCCAAAAATCCAAACATACAAAGCCAGAAACATTAGGTAGGAAAGCTTTTTACATCAGAATTTTTTGAAGGGTTCTTTTTAAGTCATTCTTCCAGTACTATGGAAATTATAGGGTATATCTACTGTGTCTGTGGCTGCTACACACCTTTTTTAATTCACTATATGAAACTAGAGGGTGACTATACTGCCCAGGAAGGCTTTATTAATTATTTTTGGCACTAGAGATTGAACACAGGGATGCTTTACTTATTTACTTAAAATATTTTTATTAGTTGTTCATAGATCTTTATTTTATTTATTTATTTATATGTGGTGCTGAGAATCGAACCCAATGCCTCGCACATGCTAGGCAAGCGCTCTTCTACTGAGCCACAACCCCAGCCCCACAGGGATGCTTTAGTACTGAGCTACACCCCTTTTTATTTTTATTATTTTTTTTGTTTTGAGAGGTAGAAATATTTATTTTTTAGTTTTTTTGGCGGATAAAGCATCTTTGTATGTGGTGCTGAGGTTAGAACCGGGGCTGCATGCATGCCAGGCGAGAGCGCAATACCACTTGAGCCACATCCCCAGCCCCACCCTCTTTTATTTTTAGTTTTGAGACAGGGTATCTCACTAAATTGCTTAGGGCTGTCCTCAATTGCTGGGTCTGGCCTTGAACTTTCGATCCTTCTGCCTGAGTCACTAGGACTAGAGGCATGTACCACCACTGTGCTCAGCAGCAAGGCTTCTTTGTGTTTTTTTTTTTTTTTTTTGGTGGGGTACTGGGGATCGAACTCAGGGGCACTCAACCACTGAGCCATATCCCCAGCCCTGCTTTCTATTTTTATTTAGAGACAAACTGGGTCTCACTGAGTTGCTTAGCATCTCATGTTTGTTGAGGCCAGCTTTGAACTCATGAACCTCCTGCTTCAGCCTCCCCAGCCTCTGGGATTACAGGCTTGCACCACCACATCCAGCTTTTTCTTTTCTTTTCTTTTTAAATATTTTTTTTAGTTGTAGATAGACACATATTTTCATTTATTTATTTCTATGTGGTGCAGAGGATCATAACCAGGGCTTCAAGCGTGTGAGGCAAGCACTCTACCACTGAGCTATAGCCCCAGCTCCACAGCAAGGCTTTTTTTTTTTTTTTTTTTTAAAGAGAGAGTGAGAGAGGGGGACAGAGAGAGAGAGAGAGAGAGAGAGAGAGAGAGAGAGAGAGAGAGAGAGAGAGAGAGAGAGAGAGAGAGAGAGAGAGAGAGAGAGAATTTTAACATTTATTTATTTTTTCTTAGTTCTTGGCGGACACAACATCTTTGTTGGTATGTGGTGCTGCTGAGGATCGAACCCGGGCCGCACGCATGCTAGGCGAGCGCGCTACCGCTTGAGCCACATCCCCAGCCCCAGCAAGGCTTCTTTTGATATCAAGGTCAACAGCATATTCATGACCATTTAGCTTTGGGGCCTTTTTTGTTGGTCTTGCCTCCTAAGACAGTGTCTTGGGAACGAGTAGATAGACCGAGGAGAGTAGCTTATTGCTAGAAGTTTAGATGGTTAGGATCTCGCAGAGCTCATGAAAAGACTGAAAGGACAAAGCAGTCAGCTGGGAAGTGGAGTCCCACTAGCTGCCTCTCAGCTTACCTCCCTTGTAAGATCCTACTGACAAGATGAGGGCCAGCACATCGTGTGCAGGGAGTAAATGGCCCCAATTTCCTCCAGGCCTTTTGTGATTAGAGATAGGATGAACACCAAGGTGGCAAAGATAATGACCAAGGGCAAAATTCATAATGCAGTGGGTGTTCTATAGGAAAGCAGGAAGGGATCAGTGTGGATGCACTCAGCATGAGGATTTCCTGGAGGAGGTGACTTTTTCCATTGTGAAAATATTCTATTAAACCTTTAATCGACAATAATAACAAAAGTTAAAACTCCATCACTTACTTACTAGTCATTATAAATTATCCCCAGAGCATTCATCAGTAGGTATTTACTGAGACCCCATCATTACCCAGGGTATTCTAGGAGCTGAGGCACTGGGTGAACAGAGCCATCAGGGCCAGCCCTGCCCTCAAGGGGCAGCCTAGTCTTCTCACAGTGTGCCCTGACACACAGGAAGCAGAAGAGTACAAATCAGGCATTTGTGTAGAAATATGTGACCAATGGAATATGTCACTGGAAAAGCAAAAACAGTACTTACCAAGCTAATCACAGATGACACTCCTATTTGTCCTGCCATGGGCCAGCATTGTGCGCTATACAGATACCAAGGCACCACAGTATCCATGTAAGGCAGGTGCCATTGCATCTGGAAACCTGCAAACCAGAGGAATAAGTCCTGGTTTTCTAGTCACATGACTTGTGAAGTGCCACTGCTGGGGTTCTAACCCAGGCGTTTGGCACCAATGTCTGCCACATCCAAATGATCCGTTATTAGCATCCATTCATTGCCACTCTAATCAAAATAAAGTAATAAAGAGAAACCACACATCCTATTGTTTGCTGAAAAGGTGTCTTTTGACATTCAATGATTACCAAACACTCAATACATGCCAAGGAATGTGCTAGGAATGGGGTGGAGGGCATCATGGTAAAGTAACCCAGGACTGAGAGAGTAGCAAGGGAACTCTCCAAGGGTTGAAGCTGAATTAATGGTAAGGTGAATGTTTTGGGAAGAGAACAATGAATGGTACAGACCCAGAGGGGAGAAAGGATTTGGTGTGGATTAGAGGCAGACACATTGAGCCAGGGTGCCCCCCTCAGTTTGAGCACTACTCCGGGAGGCACAGATTGGTGGAAAACCCATGGTTTCCTCCTAGCCCAACTCCTAGCTCCTGCCCCTCATTCCTGTCTTCTCTCTTCACCAGGTAACTGTCACAGTTGGGCTGCGCTATCTGCATACAGCACTGGAAGGTGTATCCAATCCTGAGGACCCTGAGTGTGAGAGTGAGGGCTGGCTGCTGGAGAAGAGCATACCTGAGACCTGGAAGGCCTTTCTGGAGAGCTTGAAAAAGCTGGGCAAGGGCAACCAGGTGGAAGCTGAGGGTGCAGATGCAGGCCAGGCCCCTGAGGCTGGCTGATGGCCCCTGCCCTGCCCCTCCTGAACACTGAGTAGTGGACTCCAGGAAATGCGGATTCCTCCCTTGTCCAACTGAAAGTCTGATCTCCCAAGAAGGCTGGCCACCTCTCAGAGACTCTTCTTGTCTTTGGGAGACAAGAAGTTTAGGGTCCCCAAAGTGTGTGGCAAACACTTTTTGAATGACTCCAAATGTGAATAAATGAGGCCCAGCAGGCTCCCTGCCCTGGGATGTGCCCTTATGATAGACTCACGGCCTCTCTGGTGATGACTAGCCAGGATTTATGCTTCTCCTAGCACATTAATCCAGTCTCATAAGTATTGACCACACCTGAGTGCTGCTCCTCCTTTAGTTTGGCTGTTATGAGCTCCAAGTTGCTTTATTTTAAATCCAAAGCATCACTTGATGCATACAGGAATCTGAAGAATATAATGGCCATTTTGTGGGGGGTGGTGGGGGTGTTGATAATGGGGATCGAACCCAGGGCACTTATCCACTGAGCCACATTCCTAGCCCTTTTTGTATTTTATTTATAGAAAGGGTCTCACTGAGTTGCTTAGGGCCTCATTAAATTTCTGAGGCTGGCTTTGAACTCAATCCTCCTGCCGAAGCCTCCTGAGCCGCTGGGATTACATTATGCCACTACGACCAGCTTTTTTTTTTTTTTTTTTTTAATGCCAAGATTGACAGGTCATTTTGTTTGTTTAATGCCAGAAGGTGGGGGAGAGTTACCCTTTTCTAAGGGTATTGGACTCTTCAAAGCATTGATTCCCCTATACAGGAATTCAATCGTGGGGCAAAAGAATTTTGAGGTAGGGGCTTATTTCCCACCAAAAACACACTGAAAGGCCTGCTTTTCTGTTACATTCCCATGCTCTGTCACTTAGTCCAAGTAAATCATGGGCTGTCAGCATGTTCCAGCAATACCCTAAAGTGCTAAATGAACACCTGCAGCTCATCTCTAGGAAGTCCTGGATTAGGTTACTGCCCTGCTGTGAAAGAGGAGCAATTATCAGACAAGAATTCACCCCTTTGGAGATCAGGTCTCATCTTCTGGTGGCCTGGGGACACCTGTACAGGCGGCTGTGACATCCCCCATGGACCAATATAGTGGAGGGCAAGGAGTCCTCTGGGAGTTTCTCCCCCAATATCTATCCTGCAAAGCAATATTTTGGAATGTTTCTGTATCAAAGATTCTTTGAGAAGCCAATGTTCCTGAGCTAGCACTTGCATAAAAAGGGTTCACTTGCTTTAGGAAACAGGAAAGCTTCAGGGAAAGGAGAGCACAATTTTACTGGCATTCCAGGCCCCTGGGGAACCTGATCACAGAAGGGCCCAGCATAATTCTGCTAGTTGGATAAACATTCAAGAGAGTTTATTCCTACCTGGCTAGAGATCAAAGCCAGGAGGTAGAAGACAGAAGGGGAACAGCCTTTAACTTACCTCTGCTCTGACCAAGAAATGGTGTTGGTAATAGGTTACTTTGGACCCAGTCGGGGTTTATTCTAGGAACTTTAGTATAGAGACTAAGATACTGGTGCTGTCTGAGCTATGTCTGGAATTCAATTCTCTCAGAAGATGTTTGGACACCCTGTCAAATTTTGGTTCCAGGCTTACATAGATATAAGTTTGAGACCAAGGAAGGATCCACTCTGAAAACACTGAGTCAGCCATCTCGGGTGAGGGCCCTTGAGCTCTGGAGCTCCCAGCTGTCTCTCAGGAGTGCCGAGAACCATCATGAAACTGCTGTTCTAGGCCCATATATGTATCTATGCTGTCAACAGCTGTGTAACATATTAAAAACTATGGTACAAAATTTGCTTTGTTAAACGACTATCTTAACTCATCAATAGCAGGTATGCCAGAATATCCAACACTAGTTAGCATTCATTAAAGAATACAAGAGATTATCAATCACTGTTACCAACATGTCTTATGTACCATTTTGACTTAGTGATTTAAGCAAAAGTCCTATTTTTTAAAAAAATTTTAATATATTTTTTTTTAATTTTCGGCAGACACAACATCTTTGTTTGTATGTGGTGCTGAGGATCGAACCTGGGCCTCATGCATGCCAGGCGAGCGTACTACTGCTTGAGCCACGTCCCCGCGGTGCAAGCAAAAGTTCTAAACCTTGTGCTAGGGTGTAGCTCAGTGATACAGTGCCATCCTAGCTTGTGGTGGGCCTGGGCTTGATCCTTAGTACAGTTTAAAAAAAATAAAATAAAATCCAAATCTTTTTTTTACCCCCATCTCTTTGCCTATAATATAGTTCCCCAAACAGGGAAATCTTAGCCTCCAGGGGGACAAGTAATGGGGAGGATGTGAGCAACCCAAGAATCTGAAACAGTGTTGGGAGCATCAAGGGTCATGACCCCTTGATAAATCTCAACAGTTGATTCAGAGCATATTTAAAAATTGAACAGGTTTCAATTAGTCAGGTATTTGCTAGAGAAACCTGGTCCATTCCTTTTGGTCACCTATCAGTGTCTAGTAAGACTCAGGTACCAGGTTTTTTTTTGGGGGTGGGTGGGTACCAGAGATTGAACTCATGGTCACTCTGCCACTGAGTGACATCCTCAGCTCTATTTTGTATTTTATTTAGAGACAGGGTCTCACTGAGTTGCTTAGTGCCTCAACACTGCAGAGGTTGGCTTTGAACTTGCAATCCTCCTGCCTCAGCCTCCCCAGCTACTGGAATTACAGGTGTGTGCCACTGTGCCCAGCCCAGGTTCTTTCTTGTGTATAACTTCAGTCTTTCCTAGGGCTAGTGTAAATTCACTTCTCCCAAAGGACTCAGACAATTTTTAAAGTTGTCAGCCTGGCTCTGGGGTGGAGTTGGAGGTGAAGACAGGACTTTGGGATTTTTACTTTTTTTTTTTCTTTTGCAATACTGGGTATGGAATTCAGGGATTCATGCATGCAAGGCAAATGCTCTAACATTGATCTATTATCCCCAGCCCAGGATTTTTACTTTTTTTTTTTAATCTTGCCCTAAAGGCAATTATTTATTTATTTATTTTAAAATATTTATTGTTTAGTTTTTGGCAAACACAACATTTCTGTATGTGGTGCTGAGGATCGAACCCAGGCCGCACACATGCCAGGTGAGCGCGCTACCGTTTGAGCCACATCCCCAGCCCCGGATTTTTACTTAAAAAAATTTGTTTTTAGTTGAAGATGGACACAATACCTTTATTTTATTTATTTATTTTTATGTGGTGCTGAGGGCCAAACCCAGTGCTTCATGTGTGCTAGGCAAGCGCTCTGCCACTGAGCCACAACTCCAGTCTAGACTTTTACTTTTAAGTCACTGTTTAGGGAATTAGTAGGCAATGGGTTCCAATACTGAATATTTAGGAAGCCAGGTATCCTAGAATTTGTAGCCCGAGTTCAAGAACCCATAGCTTCTGCCAACAATGCTTCAAGCCCAGGGATGAGCCGCCAGCAAATAAAACCCTGTGTAACCTCAATATAGTTAATAAGATTAGATTCTTGTTTGACACGCTCCCCTCCCCTCTTTATCTGGGTATCCATCAAGCTAGGCCAGCAGGTTTGCATCTTAGCTGAGGCAGTGAGGGGCCAAGACAACGAGGGTCCCTCACCCACTACTGGGTAGAAAATCAGCCCTGGAGGGCAACATGCCTCATTTGTGGAATACTGTCTTAGTCCAAGAAGACAGGGGATGCCCATCTTGGTTCTCAGTGAACAGAGTTTTGGCTAAAAGGGAGGAAACTTCAATCCTTAATTCTTGGTAGCATTTTATCCTGTCCTCCAAAACAGAGGATGAGGTATGGATGGCCAAGTTAAAGAGATCAGAGAATAGCACGCTCAAGGACACTGTCAAGTGTCCTTGATAGAAGGGACAACTCCTAGATATTTTCTCAAGGGGAATGAGAATTCAGTCAACACAAAACCCCACATATAAATGTAGTAGTAATTAGTGAATAATCACCAGAAGCACCAAATATTCACTACCTGGCAATGGTACAAACATTTGTACAACCAAATAGTACTCAGCAATAAAAGGAACATGGGTGACTCTTTGTGAGAAAAACAGACTCAACAAGCTACATACAATGATTCCATTTGTATCTCATCTGACAAAAGGCACAGAGGGACAAATTATTAGTGGGAGCCAGAATTGGAACATAAAGAAAAGCTGGCTACAAAAGGGCACCAGGGAATTTTTTTGGGTGATGGAGCAGTTCTATTTCTTAATTGTTTGTAAAATACCTTCAATAAGCTTTGTTTGGAAAAACAAGAGTAGGGACAGAGCAAGATGTGTACCCGAGGGGGCTTGAAGAGTCCTGGAACTAAAAACTACACTGGGTAGGGAGTAGCTGGGGCAGCTTTACCAACCAGGAGGCAGGGAAGGTTTTAGTTTCACACTTTTCTGTTAAGAGAATTCTGAAAATCACAGCAGAACCCCTCATATCTAAGGGCTCTCCTATGATTAAAAAATATCACTTCCTGGGGCTGGGGTTGTGGCTCAGTGGTAGAGTGCTAGCCTAGCATGCGTGAAGCCCGGGGTTTGCTTCTCACCACTGCATAAAGTATTGTGTCCATCTACAGCTAAAAAATATTTAGAAAGACACTTCCTTTCTATATATGTCTCAGAAGCATAAAGTGTCTGGCAAGTGTGTAAGGATAAGAAGCTGGAGACCCACCAGATGTGGATGAGCAAGAGTTGAAACCTGGGACAGGTCTCAAAGTGCCTTGTTGTCCTAGTAATTTGAGGACTGAAATGGGTCCAGAAAAGTCACAAACTATCATTGACAATGAAAATAAAATTTAATTGGCTGAAATAATGACTTAAGCTTTCTCTGGGAAGGTCAGAATGACTTGGCTAGAAGCCATAGTTGACACTAATAATATAAGCCTCTTAAATTTCAAGCTAATACAGAAGTCCCACTTCCGCAGCAAGGTGATATAGGAAGCACTGCTGTGACATTTAAATGTGTAAAATAAAACCAAAAAGAAGATGTAGGTCAATCCAAAGTAATGTCAACACCTAAAGCATTTATTTGGTTATCTTTAAACTTTTTACATATGATACATCTCAAATTTTACAAGTTGTTCACAGATATTAAAGTTATACCCAATTTATTAAACAGATATGATTCCCTGATATGGAAAGCATGTTATATTAACATTTCTACAATAAACATAAAACATGCGAAACAAATCATAAAACTAAGTTGCTTTGTTAAGTAGGGAAGACAGGGAAGACAACTAACTTAACATC